TAATAAAACTGTTTTCTTTTTCCATGAAAACTGCATTTTGTGGCCCTTTTTTTATGAATTTTTGTGATTAATTCTCTGTTCAAGGTCCAGCAGTAATTAGCCATCATTCTTATATCCCATTTTCCTTGGTAACGTCTCTTCATCTCCTTTGTAGCTTGATAGAACCTTTCTTCCAGCTCTTAGCTGACAGCTTAAAGGTTTTCGGGAAAATAGTCAACGTGTGAATCCAAAAATTGAAGTTTGACGCTCATATTCCATCCCAGTTTTTTATAATTTTCGACCATGTTAGCTACAATTTCTTTATAGTTTGGAGACTTGTTGTTTCCAAGGAAACCGTCTATGAGTTCCAAGAAAGAAATTTATACTTTAGCTTCATCCTGGGTCATTGTATTCTGGAACAATCTGTCCGATTTTAAAGTTCGAATTTAAGAGCCTACAAAAATTCATAATTTAAGATTAACTTCAGAAAGTGCAGGAAATTTGTCGCACAGATATTTAAAGCAGTCACATTGTATATCTAAAGCTTTGACAAACTGCTTTATCAATCCTAATTGAATGTCAAGAGGAGGCAAAAGAACTAATTTTGGGTCAACTAGTGTATCACGTTGCACATTTTTTGTCCCGGTACAAATCTTTCTCTGAGTGGCCACTCTTTTTTAACGTAATATAAATTTTGTGCTCGAGTGTTCCACTCGCATAAAAAACATGGATACTTTGTGAATCCAGACTGCTGACCCAAATGCATGGATATTATTTTGAAATCTTCAATCAGTTGTCAACAATATTCGCTATACTTTATTTTATTTAGCAACAGCTCAAGATTCTCATATGTTTTTTTCAGATGCACGAAGTGAGCAACGGGCATTGAGGCAAAAGTATTACCATTGTGCAACAAGACATTCTTCAGACATTAAATAACACAATATTATGACAATACACCCGTAAGCCATCTTGAGAAAAATATTCCACGAACTCTTTTTCACGATGCCTATACCACGAAAATGTGGTACCTGGAGCCATTAGATTTTTATCTTTTAGTCGTGATTCTAAGATTTGTCTAGCATTCTTCTATAAGCCCAAGTCTCTCACTAAGTCATTTGATGGTGTGAAGAAAAGTTTAAGGAATAAGGATTCCTGGTTCATGAGATACAGGTCGTTTAGCAGAAGGTAAAACAGGATCAACAAAACAAAAAATCCAATTAAATATAATAAAACTGATCGATTAATAAAAAAGAGAATAAAAGAAGCTAAAGAGAGAATGTTACATGAGCAGTGCCAAGAACTACAAGAAATTGAGAAAAAATATGATTTTTTTAACATGCATAAAAGAATTAGAGAATTAACAGGAATGAGAAAAACACTTCAAACTAGCAACTAAGAGATGAAAGGGGTGCACTTATAACAGATATAAACCAAAAAATGCAGAGATGGACACAATATATAGCACAACTTTTTGAAGACAAAGAGAGAACAGAAGCACCAAAAGAATTTAAGGATGATATTGGGCCTGACATTTTACGAGAAGAAATTTAATATGCAATGAAACAAGCTAAAGGTGTTAAATCTCCCGGGCCTGATGAAGTTCCTATCGAATTACTTAAAATTGTGAATACTAAATCTATTGATCTTCTTTTGGATCTATTCAATACCATATATAGAACAGGTATAATACCTAAAGAATGGCTCCAATCAACATTCATACTGCTTCCCAAAAGAAGCCAATGCAAAGGAGTGCAATGAACATCGCACCATAGCCTTAATGAGTCATGTCTTGAAATTGTTTTTAAAAGTAATTTACAATAGAATACATAAGAAATTAGATGAAGGCATAAGTAATACACAAATTGGATTTAGGAAAGGACTGGGAACACGAGATGCACTGTTTGCAGTAAGTGTTCTTTCGCAGAGATGCTTAGATATTAATCAGGAAGTATATGCCTGTTTCATTGATTTTGAGAAGGCATTTGACAGAGTGCAGCATAATCGACTTAAAGAAATTTTATTAAATAAAAACATAGACAGTAGAGACATTAGAATCATCTGTAACCTCTATTGGAATCAAACAGCAAAAGTGAAAGTTGAAAACGAACTGATCAAGGATATCCAGATTCGCCGTGGGGTCGCCAAGGGTGTATTTTATCACCCTTGTTATTCAATTTATACAGTGAAGCCATCTCAGAATTAGCGCTTGCCGAGATCAGTGAGGGCCTTACAATAAACGGTGAGCCACTTAATAACACAAGATATGCTGACGACACCGTCCTTCTGGCAGGAACACTAAAAGAACTGCAACACCTTGCCGAACAACTAAATATATATTGCAACGATTATGGACTAAAAATCAATTTGAAGAAAACCAAGTTCATAGTATTTACAAAAGCACAAAACATCAAAGTTAAGCTAGTACTAGATAATACAGAAATTGAACAAATATCTTCGTACAAATACCTTGGAGCATGGATCACAGAAGATACTGATCAGACAAAAGAAATAAGATGCCGCATTGAAATTGCGCGGTCAACTTTTAATAGAATGAGAAAACTTTTTTGTAATCTCGATATCAATATATCGCTCCGGATAAGAATGCTTCGATGATATATTTTCTCTACCCTTTTGTATGGAGTTGAAGCTTGGACACTTAAAAAATCCAACATTAAAAACCTAAAAGCATTCGAAATGTGGTGTTACCGACGTATTTTGAAAATATCATGGATGGATCGCAAAACAAACGAACAAGTTCTCGAACAGCTAGGAAAAAAAACGAAGTTTTAAATTCCATAAAAATCAGGAAATTGAAATACTTGGGGCACATCATTAGAGGTGAAAAGTACGAACTACTAAGGAATATAATGCAGGGTAAAATCAAAGGTAGAAGAAGCGTAGGAAGACGTAAAATCTCGTGGCTACGCAATCTCCGTGAATGGTTTGGATGCAGTTCAATTGAACTATTCAGGCGAGTAACCAATAAAATTATAATTGCCAGAATGATTTCCAATCTCCGATAGGAGTGGAACTTAAAGAAGAAGAAGAAGAAAACAGGATATTGAATTTTGTGTTAATTTTTCGAATTGAAACCCTTGATGTTGCAGGAGCAAAAGTAGCAGTAGTCATTATGGGTTTTTGGTTCCCTCCATACCATAGGAATGTCGAAGGGTAAAAAGTTACGTGTACCTTTTATCAATTTTCTCAGTAGTTCAATACATTGAAAGCACACTTTGTGTGTGGAGCCCAAGGTTTGTCCTGATCACCAAACTTTACAAGCACCAATAAGGTACTTGTTTGCGCTAGTATATAATATCTCACAAGGTTTTTTCAATTTCGTGAACATTTTGAACATTCAAATGAAATTAACATAATATCTTAAAATATTTTCTCTCTCTCTATTTTAAAGAAAAAATTTTAATACAATTTACGAAATATCAAGATATTTGTTTGCACTAGGACATAATATCTCACAAGGTTTTTTTTTAATTTTGTGAAAAATTTGGACGTGATGGGCTTAAACCGAATTCATATTCAGAATCAGCATACCTGTATTAGCTAAGGACACATGTCAAGCTCAAAACACCAAAAATCATGTCGGCCTGTGTAATCAATGTGCAACACAAATCATTCATCGCTGTCCGTCTTTAGATTAATCTATCAGATTGCTTGGTGCACTTCCCCAATGTTTTTCGATACAGGTAGCATAAAAGGCAAACAATTGTTGCTCATATTCCTCCGATCGCAAGATATGTCCATTGTTGTCAGGTGTTCTTTGAAAGAAGAAGTTCAATTTTCTGTTAAATGAATTTTGATGGCCTCTCCGATAACTCTTCTTGAACTTTTATCTTGCAGGAGTTGCTGATGACTTGACGGCAGAGTTTTTAAAAAATTTAAGCTTAATTAATTAAATAGTACAGTTCTCGTCATATAAAACTGGTACACTTTTTTTCCAATGTACACCTGTGTTCAGACTTGACACAATGGTTTGTGAATTAATTCGTTGTTGCCATCACAGATAACGGAATTGCACTAAATCTAAATAAAAAAGAACGTTAAAAAATGTTTAAGTTTTTATATAGGCATTACTATTATTATTATTAACAACAAAAAACCGTATCTAATAAATTTAATAACCAGAAATATGCTAGAGTTAATGCCCAAAATGTTTAAAGGATCTTTAAACATTGGGATGCATCTACTGTTGTTTTATAATGTGTCTGTCGCACAGCCCTCCTTTTCGCTAATTTGATACAATATTTTCGTTGAACTGGCAACGTTGCCTTAGAAATTAGAATGACATATGTGACAAGATCAACTTACACAACTGGAAAAACACGATTTTCGGTTATAAGAGTTGTACCAGTTTTTTATGACGCGAATGGTACCTACTGTAAAATTGTCATTAAAAATAAAAAAACAGAAATTTTTTTGCCGTATCCACAGGTGAGAAGTCATCTTAATATGTGGTACTTGGATTATGCTTTTAAATGATCAAATCTTAGTAGGTTGTAAGCCTTTTATGGCCTTGTCTGTCACGGGGTTAAGGTAAGCCAATGATCAGTTTGCAAATCACTACAGGTTTATTTTAAAATCTCTGGTTTTATTGCGGTAATGAGTTTGTACTATATATGGGTAAATTTATGCTAATTGGTGATGAGTTTACGTGTGCCCCCAAATTGTCGCTAAAATAAGTCGCAGCCTAATGCGTTTTCTTCCATTGTTAGGAAATTTAGCAAGCATTGTGTACACAACTTACTAAAAACCAAACTTTTAGCCAAAAATTACCCATACTTAATATCCCTCAGTTAACCGACGATTTTGGAAAAACAATTTTTGCTACGATTTCTGGTATTGATGCAATTATTGGGCGGCCTTGGGAGTTTTATATGAAATTTCAACCTAATCTAAATTTCAACCTAATATTGTATTGTCATTTTATTGGACGACAAAACTTTATTTTCCGGGAATTATATAATACTCAGGAAAACTTTTAGGATTCTATACAGTTTACTTACTTCTACTTGCCTCATTTTCTTTCTTTGACTCGTATCTGGAAAAACTGGTGATCCCATATTTTGCCAGTGTTTAAAAGGATTTGTTTCTATATTATCAATTTTGTAGACGGTGTATTTCCATGTCTTTTTATAGTTGAATTCAGTCAGTCGCAGAGATACATTTTTACAGTATACTACAAATAATATATACACAATTATTGCGATATTAGATAATTTATTTTTTTGTACTTCCCTTGTACAAAAATAATATTACAATTTAATTTTTTTCTCGAGAAATATAATTACCCCATTGCTTTAAATAAATAAATAAAAAAATTTTAACACCATGCATGATAATTTCTTAATTGAAAACGTTTATAATATAGCGACTCTTACGAGATAGACAACATTTTGATTTTGAATCTAGTTCTATTTAAAACCACATTAAACTCAATGATATCATGAAGGATGTTTCAATTAGCGTTATTTTTATTGAATCGAAACTAGTTAACGAGAAGAGAATAAATAATTCCGGGACAAGGCATCGTTCATTTTGAAGAAGAGGCTTACAACTAGAATTTTCAGAAATATTTTTTAGAGAGGTTTTAATATTTCCATTCATTTATTTCATCTATTATGCAGTGTTTATTGATTTTATAAAATTTCATAATTGAATATAATAGATGTCTGATCTTTTAAAAGCTCTAACAAGAATTTTCTATTTTAAGAATTATCTTTTTGAAAGACATGGTTTATAAGACATGGTTTTTACTCATAAAACTGTATTTAAGAAATTGTATCAATACAGAATAATTAAAAATGCCATTGCATCAATAATGTACTAAAACTAATTAATAAAACATCAAAGAAACATAAAGCAATAATAATAATCACTGTTCTTCTTTACAAATTTTTGTAAAAACTTAAATAGTATTCAGGAACCCATCGCTTTTTTTGCATTCAAGACAACATCCGTTATTCTTAGCTTCAGTGATTCCCACTTTTTTCTAAAAGCTTTGTTTAAAGCAATATTATTGATATTAACTTCACGCCTAGAACGCACAGTTTCCTCTTGATTATATTCTGCTTGGTTAAAAGATGGATTTATAATAAAGAACAGTAGGATTGTTACGTTCTAACATCAAGATCCTCACAAGATCAGGTAGTTTAACATCTTTGGGAATACTAAGAGATATGTCTGCACACAAAGATCAAATACGTCATTAAAACCTGTTTCATGTACTTTATAATTTATAAATGAACTTTCAATTTTTTAAGCTGTTCAAATCTATCTATCTATCTCTATCTAATCAGCCTTAAACGCCCACTCTTGCGCATAGGCCTCCCCTGTTATTCTCTATTGGTCTTTATTTTGGGCGATCTGCATCCAGTCCTTTCCTGTCGTTCTCTTAAGGTCGTCAGTCCACCTCATCTGTGATCTTCCTCTTTTTCTTTTCTCTTTCCATGGTCTCCAGTGTAGAATTCGCTTATTCCATCTTTCATCTTTTTGCCGGAGAGTGTGACCGGCGAAGTTCCATTTAAGTTTTGCAACCTGTCTTGATACATCGTTTACCTTTGTTTTTTTCTCTGATCCATGTCTTTAAGACCGATACCCAGCATCTGTCCTTCCATTGCTCTTTGTGTTTTGGATATCCTGTCGATGTTCTCCTTTGTGAAAGTCCATGTTTGTGAGCCATATATGATAACTGGTAAAATGCACTGATTGAATACTTTCGTTCGCATATATTGAGGGAACTTTTTATTTTTTAGAATATATGATAGTTTACCAAATGAGGCCCTTGCTAGTCTAGTTCTTCTTTTTATTTTTTCTGTTTGATTGTCCCTGTTCAGCTTTATTATCTGTCCTAGATATATGAATTCTGCCACCTGCTCTAATTTATTCTGTTTGACTATTATTTCTAATTGGTCTTCTTGGTTTGTGATAGTCTTGGTTTTACTATAGTTTATCTCTAGACCTACCTCTGTCGCTTTTCTATCTAGTTCCTCAACCATCTTCTGTAACTCTTCCTTCTTATCTGTTATCAGGACTATATCGTCTGCATATCTCAAGTGGTTCAAGAGCTCTCTATTTATTCTTATTCCGTATTTATCCCATTCTAATTTTTTTAAATATGTCTTCCATAGCCTGATTGAACAATTTTGGTGATATTGTGTCTCCCTGCCTGATTACTCTTTCGAATTTTATTGGTTCTGTAGTGTGTTCGTTCGTCAATTTTATTGTGGTACTCGCATTTTTGTATATGTTTGTTATTAGCTCCGTGTACCTGTAATAAATTCTGCCGTTCTGTAGTGAGTTTTTGATGGCCCAATGTTCTATGCTGTCAAACGCCTTTCGGAAGTCTATGAATGCCATGTATAATGGGATTTGATACTCGTTCGACTTTTCAATCAGTATTTTTACTGTTAGCAAATGGTCGCTAGTACTAAAACCCTTTCTGAATCCCGCTTGTTCTCTTGCTTGGTATTCGTCAAGCTTAGTTGTTAGTCTATTTGTCATGATCTTCGTTAGTAGTTTAAATACAACACTTAGTAATGTTATAGGTCTGTAGTTTTCTAAGTTCTTTCGGTCACCTTTGTTGAACACTAATAGTGTCTCCGCATCGTTCCAGCTATCGGGTATTTCTTTTGTGGTCAATATTTTGTTCATGGGGATATGTAGGACTTCTCTAGTTGTTTTCCCTCCTCTTTTCTGCATCTCTGCAGTTATTCCATCTTTTCCAGGTGACTTATGGTTTTTTAATTCTTGAATTGATTTCTTGATTTCTATTTTACTTATTTCTGGTTGTAGGTCAGAGTTTATATTCTTTATTTTTGTGTTTAATTGTTTAAGAATTTCTTGCTGTGGTTTATGTCTTGTTCTGTATACGTGCGTATAGTATTCTTGTGTCAACTTTATTATTTGTTTCATATCATTAACGGTCATTCCTTCGCTGTTTGTCATTTCATTTATCTGAGTTTTACTGAGTCGTTGTTTTAAGCATTTCATATTTTTGTTCTGCTGGATTACTCTTTCAATCTTTGCTTTTTGTGTTTTTCTCTTGGTTTCTTTTATGTTTTTTCTAATTGTTTTATTGATTTAAGTATATTCTACTGTGTTTCTTTTGCCCTGTTCAAGTAGGCTTCTTCTTGTCTTCATCAGGTTTTCTACTTCTTTTGAGATATAATTGTTTTTTTTTTGTCGTCGATTTTGCAATTCTTTCCCCGGCCTGTACCAATGTAGTTGTTAGTATTTCATTTATTTCGTTTGTTTCTTTATTTATTAAGTCGGTTGGTATTAATAACGGATACCGTTGTGGTCTTCATCCGTAACCCTGGATAAGAGACCCTAAGCAGGTACTAGTGTCCCGGGTTAGGAAACTGTTCAAATATTGCACCCATATTGGTCAGGTACGTATATTAGACTTGGTCCGTGTCCAAGGACAAAAAATTTATGTGTTATTGATTTTATGGGCAAATTTTTTATAGCATACAAGTACAGGGCAATTATAATTTCGTTTTTATTTTTCCCTGCACAATTTTCAGAATAGAAGATTATATTTAAATTTTCGCCATTACAAAAAATTGGAAAAAACCTTAGAATGCAAGATCGTATTTCATTTGACCCCCTCAAAGCTTCACCCTCAAAGCAAGTACCTTCCTGGGACTTAATATCATAAAGTGTAAAATTGAAAACATTCAGTTTTGAAACATAATAAAAAGATTATGCTTCTCCTATTGGGCAAGGCAAAACTGCTTTAAGATCATAAACCAAGACTTTGGTTGTATCATCACTATTTTTATCAATATCTTTTTTTTGATAAATCTTTTTCTGTTAAATTGTTATTGAATTTTTCTTTTAAAGCTACTTTTTCTTCCTCTGTCGAAGACCTGCAGCGCAAGCACTCTTCACATTGATCTTTTTTAGGCAGATGAACTCTTCATTAAAGATCGTAGATAAGATAGTTCCCTAAGAAACAGTTTGTTCTTTACATATCTCAAGGTAGTCTTTGTGTAAATTTATTCAATGTACTCTTTAGTAGAATTCGACCGACAGTTATGACTTTTTTTCCTGGGGATAAAGTTAATTTGAGTTATAATTGAATTGTTCATTCTCTCACTTATTTTTTTATGTTTTCCATGCTTCCCTCTTTGGTCCTTTTCTAAAACCTTTCCGCTTTTGCATACAGTTTGTTTTTGCAGGACTGTTGATATGACTTTATGATTAATTGATAGCGTTGCCATAAAAAAATATTTACACACCCTTATTTGCTGCCCGTCTTATAGAAAATTGTATGCGTTATTTGGTTTTCTATGAGTTTCTTTATTCGAATATGTGTAATGTGGTGCAACAACTTTCAAGGATTAAGGATCTTTAACTGTTCTTTTTTAATTTCATTATCTATATTTTACATATACCTACCTACCAGAATAACCAGTCCATTCACTTGGCAGTTCATTCTTTTAAGTGGACCCTAAGTCCATTCACTGGAAAAAAATCGGTCTTTTCAGTAAAGTTATACGTCGATTTACTGGGTTTTTGGTGTTTTTTTTTTAATTTTTGATTTATTTAAATAGTTTTAAAAACATTAACATTACCACAATTAATTAAGAAGAAATTTTGACTTATCGAGGATGAGTGAGTTGACAGTACCCTAATCGATGGTAGAATGCCTTTACCACATTTCTCCATGATTGTCTAGAAATTATTCAAGATCCATCGAGAATTCGTGGCCTTAGCTCTTTAAGACTTCAAACTGGTTTAGTTTTGCAAACTGAATTTTTCCAATAAAGTCAACCAATAAAAATAATCCTTAGGATTGAAATCAGGTGAACGTGGTGGCCATTCAATTCTACCTCGTCTACCAATTCATCGTCCGGGAAATATCTCATCTAAATAACGCCGAATATTTACACCAAAATGAGCTGGAGCTCCATCTTGTTGAAACCATTTCTGATTTAAATTGGCCCCAAACAAGTTTCTCAGTTTAGGTCCAATTTCACGTCTAAGTAACATTTCGTAACTATCTGACGGTAAATTTCCTTCGATAAAAAATTGCCCAATTTACTGAGTACCTACT